ATTGTAAAATTCCCCATTTGAATTGCAATGACTATCAAGTGGAGAGACTCACATCAACTACACGGTGTAGAAACGAGAGGAGGCTGGCGGCATTGCAGTTCTGCCGCGCAGCCGTCATAAGGTACACATTGCTGTGCTGTACAAACATGTAAGTGACTCCATTATCATACACAACGGGATCTTGCGACTGAGGATCTCCCTGAATTTGTCAAAATCGCCGAATCAGGACACGAGATATGCACTCCAATCTAAAGAAATCAATCTCGATCACTTCCCTAGCAACGAAATGAAAAGAAGAGAGACACGTACCTCTTTCTCGATGAGCTTGGTGAAGAAGCGCTCAGCCTGGATGGCGGTGACATCTCCACGGTAGTCGCGCCACACCAGGACCCGGCCCTTTATGTCGAGGAGGAAAAGAGCCGAAACTGCCCCGGCCATTTGCGGAAGGGGGGAAAACTTACTGTTACTTCGACCCAATCCCTAATTACGCTAACAACCACCAGATCCAATGCTTTCCTAAAGCGAGGGAGAACGACGCGAGAAGGTCATGTAACTGTGATCCAATTGAAGGGAATTACGAGATGAGAGAGCAGCTACTGCAGCTTGAATCATCAGAATCGCCGGGAAAACTTTCCCGGTCGCGATCTGCGACCACGAACCTTTCCGACGTATAGCGCGCTGGAGCTGTTCCTTTCTTCGTTTTCCGGCTCCTCACTAGTTTTTCTTCTTCTTGGGCAGCGGGGAGATAGATCTCATGTAGCTGTGTGCTCGCTAGTTGAAGCCTAATTTTCCTTTTTGTTTTTCCTCCGCAATGGAGGTTCGAGGAGAAAATGGTTATCATTTTTTTTTTTTTTTACAAAAGATAATCATATATTGATTTAAAAGGTAGATAATTACATCCTGGAATTTAGCCAGGTCAGGAAATTGAAAGAACGACTCATAGTCGGGTACAAAGAGAGGACTTTACGAGCCACCATATGGGCTACCCTGTTACTACTCCGACCTACAAATCGAACACTAAACCCAGAAGAGCTGTGAAAATAATGATGAAGTTCCTCCAGAACAGCTCCAACCCTGCTATCTCTGGTATCTGCGCGATTGATTTTATCAATAATAACATTGGCATCACCTTTGAATTGCACCTCTGACAGCCCAAGCGCCCTACACCACGAAACAGCCTCCCGGAGGACAAGCAATTCCACCACCATCGGGTCCTCCAGGCCAGGAAAATAAACCTTTTTTACCAACCAAACATCCTTCATAGGAGTAAAGAGAACCAGCCCTCCCGCCGAGTGAGCCCCCCTCCGAACCGCCCCGTCCCACATACAAACAACCCTGTCCCCCTCCACAAAACCCCGAGGATTCGTCCCCAGAGGCACCTCTGTATGGGCAATCATCCTAGGGTTTTTATCCACTGGCAGGCGGATCCACTCCTCATACTGCTGCTGAAACTTACGCATCAACGCTGGGAACCCAAACTGCTTTCCTTCAAAGACTACCCAGTTCCGCGACCGCCATATCCGCCAAAGCACCGCCACCACAGCCATAAACAGAGAAGGCTGGTGGATCAAAGCCAATAAACGTTTCAGGAACAAAGGGAAAGTATGGCGAGGGAGCCCCTCCCCTAAGTACTCCAGCCCCTAATAATCCCGAAGGCCTCTAGCAACCGGACACTCCAAAAATAAATGCTCCAGAGTTTCTGCACTCGCCCAGCAAACCAGACATTGGGGGAGCACCGGGACCTTCTTATCAATAAGGGCCTCCGTAGTAGGCAAGATTCGATTGAAGATCTGCCAGACAAATATTTTCAGCTTCGGAGGGATATTAGCGTCCCATAACCGAATCCAGGAGGTCTTATCCATCCACCCAACCGTGGATCGCCATCCTCCCCGTCTCCTATCCACGTCAACCGCCAAATGGTAGGCAGATTTAACCGTGAAGACCCCATCCTCAGTCGCATGCCAGATCAACCTATCCTCAACATTCTGCCGTGGCAGGGGGATAGCCTGAATGGCCCTACAAGTCAATGGGTCAAACCACTGGCGCAACTTTTCAACATCCAAACACCCCCCCACCTGGACTTATGACCTCCGCAACCGAAAGGTCCCCACCCTCTGGCAAAACCCGAGGATTATAACTAGGGGGATCATTCTGGAGCAGAGGGATCCAGTTAGAGTGCAACAGGGATGCAGATTGCACATTCCCAATTTGCCATCTCAAACCCTTCATTAATAATTCCCTACCATATAAGATGCTCTGCCAGCCCCAGGATGGTCGAGAACGACCCTTAGCCTCAAGAAACGATCCATTTGGGAAATATTTGCCTTTGTAAACCTGCGCCAAAAGGGAATGGGGGTCCATGAGGAGCCGCCGCCCAATCTTCGCAAGCAAAGCCTGGTTAAATTGCTCAAAGCGGCGGAAACCCAATCCCCCATCATGCTTACTACGGCATAAATTCCGCCAAGACACCCATCTAATCCGGAAGTGCTCCTCTTCATCACCCCACCAAAACTGGGCCATGTGTCTATCCAAGAGGCGGCAGAGGGAGAGAGGGAGTTTAAAACACGACATCACATGCAGTGGCAATGCCAGAGCAACAGACTTAATCAAGGTTTCTTTAGCAGCCCACGACAAGGTCCTCCGTTTCCATCCCTGCAGCTGTTCAAGCAGCTTTTCCTCCAAATACCTGAACGTGGCCAGCTTAGATCGAGAAATAAGCGTAGGCAGACCCAGGTACTTATCTTGGACCCCAACCGCACCCACCCCCAACACCGTTTCCAAGAATTCCTGGTCCTCACGGACAATATTCTTACTAAAACAAACGGCCGACTTAGCCAAATTCACCCGCTGGCCACTCAATTCCTCATACTCATTCAGGACCTCAATCAAATTTTCCACTCCTGAAGAGTACCCCGTAGGAACAAATACGAATCATCCGCAAAAAACAAGTGCGAGATTCGGGGTGCACGAGGAGCCACCTTAACCCCCTCTAGCCTCTTCTCCGTGATAGCCTTTCGAAGAAGCGCATCAAACCCCTCCGTACAGAGCACGAATAAGAGCGGGGAGAGCGGATCCCCTTGGCGAAGCCCCCCGAACGGAGTGAAATAACCTGAAGGAGTCCCATTCATAAGCACCGAGAAAGATGAGGATTGAAGACATTCTCGAATCCACCCTTGCCAAATCGAGTTAAAGCCCATTTTAGCCAACACCGCAAGGAGAAAAGGCCATTCGACTCTATCATAGGCCTTTTCCCATGTCAACCTTTAGAGCCATGTACCCTTTCTTACCCCGCGTTTTGATCTTCATATAGTGCATTAACTCATGTCCCAGAAGGATATTCTCAACAATCTGACGCTCCCTGATGAACGCATTCTGCCCTTCTGAGATAATATTAGGCAAGAGGCCAGCCAGACGCTCTGCCATGATCTTAGTAATAATTTTGTAAATGAACTGGCATAGGCTGATTGGCCGTAACTGCCGCATAGATTTCCACATTATCCACCTTGGGTATAAGAGCGAGCCATGTGTGGTTGAAGCTACGGAGCATCCGACTGGTACCGAAGAAAGAACAAACTGCCGCCGTGACCGAATCCCCCACAATGTCCCAGAAAGCTTTAAAAAACTTCCCCGTGAACCCATCGGACCCAGGAGCTTGTTTTGAACCCATACCAAACACCGTTTTCCGCACCTCGGAGGGGAGAACTTCGGCCGTAAGGCCAGCATTCATCTCTGGGGTAACACTCCGAGCTATAGGCAAAGACGCCACCCGCTCATCCATATTATCCACCTGATTCTCCGTTGTGAAGAGGTGTTGGTAGAAAGTAGTAGCAATACCCGCTTTACCGGCCTCTTCTGTAACCCACTCTCCAGTCTCATTACAAAGACCAGCCACAAAATTTCTTTTACGCCGAGCCCTGGTCACTGTATGAAAGTAGGACGTGTTTTTATCCCCTTTTTTCAGCCAGTGAACCCTGGACTTCTGCTGCCAATAAAGTTCCTCCGCCTCCCATTGCCGATTCAGTTCAACCTCAAGCCCCCGGACATATCCCAGTTAATCGGATGAACCAATTTAACCTTATCAATTTCGCTCTGAAGGGTACGAATATTTCGCAGGGAATTAGTAGTACCCGCTCTACTCCAGTCGTACAGAAGATGGCGAAGTTTCTTCAGACGTTCCCAAAGGCAGAACATAGGAGTTCCTTGAACATCCTCCTTCCAGACATAGGTAACCATAGCCCTTACCTCCGGATTCTCCGCCCAGCGGGCATCAAATCGGAATAAGGGACGGCTAATGCGCATATAAGGCTTCTCCGAAAGGAGGAGGGCTCTATGGTCAGTCCCCTGGTCCGTAAAATGTTTTACTAAGGTTTCAGGGAATCGATCAACCCAGGACTGTGAGCAAAGGGCTCGATCCAGCCGCTCTCGAATACAATTACCCCCCATCCTCCTATTTGTCCAAGTGAATAAGTCACCTTGGTAACCAGGATCGTGGAGCCCCAAATTATTAATAAAATCACGCAAGTTGATTGAGTTATTGGCATTCCAAGGATTGCCTCCATCCTTTTCACTCACACATAGGATTGTATTGAAATCGCCAATAATCACATAGGGGAGATGGAAAGCAGAGCAGATTTCCTGAAGATGAGCCAATTGGGCGACTCGAATGGAAACAGAGCAACTAATATAAACACAAACCACAATATAAGAAAAATCCACTTCATTAATTTGGGAACAAATACAGAAGTTGGAAGAATAAAAAACTGAAGCGTTAATTTTTGGCGACCAAGCCAACACTAGGCCACCAGACGCATCGATAGCATCAACAAAAAAACACCGAGAAACGTTAAAGCCTAAGCCCCACATACGACGGGAGACAACACATCGGCTAGAACGCGTTTCCGAGAAAAACACGAGTTCCGGCTTATTCGAGTGGACCAAACCCACGGCCGTTTGGAATGTGAGAGACGGCCCTATGCCTCTCACATTCCAGGCAAGAAGCCTCATTTATTAGACTGGGGCCACTCCAGGCTGGCTTCCTCCACCTTCTCATTGTTATCAGTTGCTTCCACAAATTGTTTCTTAGGGGTTGGCGGGACACCAACCTCCCCCTCCACTACCTCAAAAGGCCTTTTCAGAATCCTCATAGGCGGGTTGAGCATATTGGATCCATATTCATCCAGCTCGCCAGCATCCAGCCCAGTAAGGCCACTGCCCCCCGTATCATTTATAAAGCCTATATCTCCAGCCAAGGCCTGTTCCACGATCTTGTCCTCGATGGTCAACCCTGCCTCGAACGCTGCCACCACGTGGCTAACCCGGCCCTTGGAAGGAGTGCAAGTTTTTGGAGGAGCAACCTGTGGGAGTCTTTTCTCAATCACAAAACACTGCGTTTCCCCACTCGATACTGATCCCTCCGAGTTACCACCTGCCAAATGGGGAGAACCCATATCTTCCTTTGCGCTGCCGGGCACCACCATATCACCCACCACCATACTCGGAAAGCAAGTATCTTCCTCCCTTTGCACTGCTTCCTCCAACGAGGCCATAGGTATATCAATCGCATCCCCCCCTGGAAGGTGGGTTTTCTTCAGCTTCCTCTTGCCACGCACGGAACCCTTCGGGGACTGCTTCAACCCCAACGCCTCTGTCGCATCAGCACCTTGTCCAGCCCCCTCTTCCCCCTTGTTGAGCAATAAAGCCTTCAACCGACGAGGCTTCCTCTTTGCCAAAGAAACCTCCCCCGCCACTTTCGGAATATTACTGTCCTTCCGCACCGAGGAATCCTCCTGCCGAGGCAGTGCCGCAGTATCAGCCGGCCTTGGGGTCGCGTCCATCATATCCTCACCAGTCCGGGAATCCACTCGCTCCCCCGCCTGGACCAGTGCTGGAGCCTTCGGACGGCGCGACTTCCTTTTCGCCGGAATGCCTCCCCCCGTCGCCGTGGGTAAGACAACCTTCTCAGGGTTTCTCAAGCTTCCTTCATTCCTGGGTGTTGGCATATGACCGACCGATCCTTGGGGCGCATCCACCATGTCATCATCCGAGTCCTTCTCGAGGATAATTCGACGGCGTCGTGATGCTGCATGGGCCATCGTAGTGTGGTCACCGCCCAGAATCGCCGCCGGGTTTTCATCAATAGGATAGTTCTCTCGGGGGTGTGTCAGCTCCTCAGCTTCATGGGAGTCAGCAACAACCCCTCCCTTCTTATTCTCCTTCTACTTTGGCCGAGAACCCCCGAGTCTGAGTTTGGGGTGGCGGTTAACTACAAATCCTCCCGGGCTGCCGCGACGAGTTGGCGACCTGCTCGGTCTCTTCCCATGTTGCGAGTTTGGATCCTCCTGGGAAACAGACCCCATAGATGCATGCGAAGGAGCCGGTTGGACAATCTTCATCGAGGGCTGGTTGCGGCTCCAAGGCCCCGAGTTCGACTCACTTCTCCCCGCCATCATATTGTTGCGGTTTTGTTGGTTAATCCAAACCGAGCGCCGGGAACCCCCAAGAGGGAGGTCATCACCATCATCCTCATATAATTTCCTCCCCAGTTTCTTTGTGATCATATGGGGGCCGTACCTCTCCTTCCCATTCGGCGGATCAAATCCACAGTCACGCCGGGCATGGCCAATTCGGCCACAATGGAATCAAAAGCTGGGAAGAAATTCGTACTTGAGGCCCACCCAGAAATCATCGACTTTGTCACTCACCGTCATCAGCTGCGATCGGAGCGGCTTGGAGAAGTCGATAATAGTATTGACCTTTATAAAACGTTTGCCGGACTCCTTGCACGCAAAGTTCCCTGACTCCAGCACCGGCCCAACCCTCGCAGCAAAAAGCTTTTGACCAAACAATTTGGTACATCAATCCTCCATGACTCCCCACAACTGGACACGAAATGGAGCTTTCGACATCTCCTCAAAGATGTCTTTTGAGATAACTGGAGTCCAGGCACGAAGGACTAACAGCCGATCCTTGATAATCCATGGGTTGCGGGACAGAGCCCAAGTGGGCTTCCTCATTAGGCAGCACGATCTCATAGAGCCCCTGCTTAGTTTTCCGGACTTTCAGCTGGCCCCGGATCTTCCAAGCATCCAGCAGCTCGTCCCGCAGCTCCACCATGCTAATTTGGTCATTTGTGAAAAGCCGACCTAGTATAAAGCGAGAAGCGCGGAATCGGGTCGATTGCACCTCCTCAAGGGAGAACTGGACCACTTGATCGTCCGTTACGTGAGCCATCGTGCACAACACCTGGCAACAAGATAATGAATTCGCATTAATATCCGGCGAGCCACACCCTAGCGCCGCATCCGTCAAAGAGATCGGATAAGGAAGCTGAAGGGGTAATTGGTCAACCAACATAGTTATAAGGGAGTGATTAGGCGAAAGATCACAGAGGCAATGCCAAGTACCTGAGCAGGTCTCCAAAGAAGGCAAGAATCCCGAAGATCCGACTGCAGCAGGTTTTCCTTGATTCCGAGTCTGCCAAGTAGCTATGTTGGACAGTCTCGGTGATGAGGGTTTAAATAAAGTCTCGACACCCCTCTTAGACTCCTGTTGCGAAGTCACTGTTAAAAGCGGGGTTTGAGGGCGAATAGGTTTAGGACTCCCATGCAGATTGGGGTCATGAGAGAGATTATCTCGTTGGGATGGGATACGCTGGTAACAGTCCCACAATCCCGCCAAAACCGGGGAATCAAATCCGAGCATCTCTCCCAGCAACGGTTACTCCCCAAATCCCCGAATCCGGGGGATACGACCCACGTGGTCCAGCCGGTGAATTCAACTGTCGACTCCCTGGTCGACGTTGCCGGAGAGCGCCGCCGAGGACGACGGATCATCAGAGAACGAACCGCCAGCGCCTCGGCCGCAAAGTCCCGATCCCCTTGGCCGAGCAGGTCGACAGATTTCCCGGAATGGTTACTACTATCAGTTTTAGTCTCGTCGATCTTGGATAATAGCGATGAATCGCCTACCAGATCCGACGACGATGAGAGCCAAAATCTCCATTTATAATTTCGAACAAGTCTGCATTTTTTCGCAGGGCTTGTACCGGATAATAACATATCACTCGAGGAATTAGGTTCCTTGCAAACCTGTGCTCGTTTTCGTTTACAGAGCGTTCGTCTCTCACGACTAGGACAACGAGTCCAAAAAATCTTTCCGCTCCTCGTCGTCGTGTTCCTCTGGCCAGTCACGCTGATCAGCAGATCTCCAGTACCTCCGCATCGAAGCTCATTCTGATTCTTCAAGCTGAACAGGAATATGGCCGAGAGGTATTTCAGTAGGCAGCCACCTAGCCAGCGCAGCCAATCGAGGAGAGAGGAAAGAGCTCCTCTCATTTTTTATTTTTCTAGAAGATTGTTTCTTTTAGGAAGTAAAATGGTTACAACTTACAAGTGGTGGAAGTTCTCATTTACTTTCGCAATAAATTTTTACTATTCGCTATTAAACGACATGCCGACCTGCTCTGGTCGTCTCGGAGTCCCACCGGCCACCGCGCATCGCAACCAAACTAATAGAAAAATATTGGGTAATTCATTGTTATAAGAACCGAATCGGATTAACAACCGGGCTAGTAGAACTGTTAAATCAGTTACGATGCGGGTCTACTACTTAGATGATCATTGATAAACTAAATTGTTTTTCACGGTTCAACATAAAATCGGATGAACCACCAAGGTTTAACTGATTCACTGATCCATTATTTGAACAAAAAATTAAAAAAAATATTTTAACATAAACTAAGATCATCAAATCATAATTATTAATTTTATATTTTCTTTCTCTTCTCATTTTCCAACCTTGGTGTCGACTTTACGTTGTCCATTACCGACTGGCACCGTAATTTTTAATTTGAATAAAAAAATTATGATTTCTTTTGTGAGAGGGTTTGAATTATTTTATCAGATATTTTGGTGATGATATGAATTTGAATTTTTTTGTGGTCAATGATAACTTCATTCTTAAATTATTGTAATATACAAGTCTTATATGTTACATAACATGAACGGTTCTATCAACGATTCACCAACGATTTTGTAACGGTTAACCCCTGAACTCTAAAGCACTAACTATTCTGGTTCAGCCTCCGGTCCGGTTTACAGTATATTAGTCTAATCTTGGACCAAAATATTAGTCATTTGTTTGTTAGCATATAGCTTTTTTCTTAGCTAAAATACTAAAATTTTGTAATGTAGGCCGACATATATTTCTTTGAAATTAGTATTATGTTGTCAAGTTAATATACTAATAAAACGGTTTATGAGTAGTTAACATTTGACTAATTTTTTGTAGGGTTAATATATTTGTATGGCCCGAACTTTTCACAAATCAAATATTCTGGCCAATCTTTTTGATCTATAACATCGTGGCCTCAACTATGCATCAAAGTTATGAAATTGGCCAAACTCGAGATTTGACCATTAACTTGGACGGTCAACGTGACACTTCACTGCCAAGTAAGTACAAACCACTTAAAATTTTGGTTTTTTCACCTATTACCATTTTTTTTATTTTGAGCAAAAGAAGAAAAAAAAGGAACTCCCGTTTTTTATTTTGAAAAAGATAAATGGTAATAGGTGAAAAAATCAAAAATTTTAAGTGGTGTGTGTTGATTTGGCAGTGACATTGCGTATTGATCGTTAGTCAACGCGTTTGACCGTCTAAGATAACGGTCAAATCTCGGGGTTGGCCAATTTCATAACTTTGATGCATAGTTGAGGCCATGATGTTATAGATCGAAAAGATTGGTCATGATGTTTAATTTGTTAAAAGTTCAGGTCATACAAATATATTAACCTTTTTGTACCTAATAACTGCACAACAAATTTTTGGATTTGCAACTTTTACCATACGACTCCAGTAAAAATCAATTTGTCAAATGCCTGGTGACTTATCAAGCCAGCAGAATAATTGAAACCAATACAGTTAAAAGCGTGATTCTACCTGAAAGCAAATAGGGGTAAATTTGAAAAGCATAAGTTTTTTTATGCATCTTATACATAATAGTTAAAATTATGTTAAGTACGACATGTACTATGTAAAATATGAGTGCACAGAGTTTAGATAAGTGAATAAATACCTGCAATTCATGTTTAAATTAGAGCAAACTCATAACATCTTAACAATAAGTTCATAAACATAAATTATAACCCATAAACGAGCTAAGAATCCAAATTCTCACAATCTGGATTAAGTTTACATAATGATATATGAGTATAATAATCGAAGTTCTCGAAATCAAATCACACAAATGTTATAAAGGTTAGAAGGAAAACTACATCAATTCATCGACATCAACACTTGCATACAAATCATCATCATTATCATCATCACCATCACTGCCATCAACATTAAGTGGGCTATCATATTCATGGTCAGTGTCATCTCTTGAAGCATCAACACCAACAGCATCATCACCTTCAATAGTATGACCACCTTCCTCACCACCAAGCTGTAAATCTCTAAGTTGTGGTTCTCCTTCTTCATTATCACAAGCACAAATCCATTCATTATCATAGTCTATATCCTCAAAGTCGATCTCAAACCTTCTTTCTTTCTTGACACCCCCCCCCCCCCACCAATTTGTTGTTGCACATAACATACACAAAATCATTTATATTTTGTGCATGAAAACTGTTCTTTTTCTTAGTATGAATCTATAAGGAAAAGAGTTCACATCATCACATATTCACAGTAAAAAGAAAGAATGATATAATTAAAAGAAATTAGAGGCAATTTATTACTTACCCTCTCAAATACACTCCAATTACTCTCGCACCCAGAAGCACTACAAGTCAAACTCAACACCTAGATGGAAAATTTTTGAAGCTCTGGCACTTCATCCCTAAATGAGGCCCTCCAATCAACTGGATGTTGCCTATACTTTAATTTCATTGCACCATACTTATCAAACATTCCTTGAGCATGACGAAATACTGATAACTACACCATTATCAAAAACTTTTCTTCGTCATCCTTTGCAAGTCTAGATATGCATTTATACAATGTCATTTTCACCATTGGATCATTATGGTTGAAACATTGAGAATGGTGAATTTGAAGATTCAACCAATATGTCGGATAGTGAACTGGCCTA